TCAATATCTGTCAAATACGGTATCTAAAGACAATATGTACAAATTCGGTATGCGTAAATATGGTATGATGCAAATACGATATGCTATATATATGGTATGATACAAATACGGTATACTGTAAATACGATATAATGCAAATACGGTATGCTGTAAATACGGTGTGCTGCATATACGGTATTATGTAAATACGGCATATACGATATTATGTAAATACGGTATGCTGTAAATACGGTATGACGCATATACGGTAAGCTGCAAATATGGTATGCGCAAACACAGTATGTTGCATATACGGTATGTAAAGTGCATATACGGTATGAATGAATCCGGTCTCGGCCACTACAATAAATTTCAATACCGTATATGATTTCTACCGTATTTGCATCTTACCATATATGCTGCCTACTGTATTTGCAACTTACCGTATGTGTAGGTACAAAAAAAGAAACATCCCTACAGCTTACCGTATTTAATTTTTTTTTAAAATTTACCTTTGATATATAATATATATGTAAACATTTTTACATAAGAAACAAATAAAATAGCTTAAAAAAAAATCTCTCCACACTGTGTGGAGAAATCAATTGATCTCTTCGAACTGTGTGGAGAGATCAACTCTCTCCGCATAATGCGGAGAGTTTGGAGGTCTGGAGAAACTCTCCAACTCTACGCTCTTGATTTTTTTTTTGTTTATTTTTCGTTTTATCTATTTGGTTTTTTATTTTTTTAGATTACCATAATTTTTCACCAGTGTCGAGATATCTTCAAACTCTTCGGATGCTCTGCACACACTGAGCTACGATTTTCTCCCCATTTCTCTTTCTTTTTTATTCTCTTTGATTTTCTTAAATTCAAACTATTTGATTTTTTAGTTTATCTTTGATATATAATATATATGTATACATTCCTACATAATAAACAAATAAGAAAATAGCTTTACAAAAAAAGAAAAGAAAGTATCTCTGCACAGTTCGGAGAGATCACTTGATCTCTCCGCACATTGTGGAGTTGTTCGTAACTCCGCACACTTTGTGCGGAGTGTTCCGAGTAACTCTGCTCCGCACTTTGCTCCCACGGAGTTACTTCGCACAATGCGAAACAAATTTTTTTATTTTTTTAAGCATTCATAATAAAATTAGCAAAACTAAATGTTCGATATTCCAACAAAAATGAATTCACCAAATTAATATCAAAGATCACACTAAAGCAATACTTTTCTCGGTATTCCAACAAAAATGCGGAGTTACTCTACACAAAGTGTGCGGAGTTGTCCGTAGTGCGGAAAGATCAACTCTCTCTGCACACTGCGGAGAGTTTGGAAAAACTTTTTTTTTTGTTTATTCTTCATTTTTTATTTTTTTATATTACCATATTTTTCACCAATGTCGAGTTATCTCTAAACTCTCCAGAGTTAGATTTTTTTTTTCACGTTTCTCTTTCTTTTTATTCTCTTTGATTTTCTTAAATTTAAACTATTTTATTTTTTTAGTTTACCTTTGATAAGAAACAAATAAAATAGTTAACAAAAATAAATAAAAATAAAGAAAATCTCTCCGCATTGTGCGGAGAAATCAATTGATCTTTCCGAACTGTGCGAAGAGAAACTCTCCAGAGAGTTTGGAGGTGTTTCTCCAAATAATTAAGTTTCAGTAAAAAAGGGCTAATAAATTTACAATATATATAAATATATATATATTTTACAAATAGCATAAAAGAATCTTTTTTATCTTCAACAAAAAAACACATTTAAAAATTAGCAATTCATAATCACCCATTTTTTTAAAATTCTTGAAAATACAATTATAAAAAAGAAAACAATATTGAATTACAAAAATCAATATCTGACAAATACGGTATCTAAAGACAATATGTGCAAATACGGTATGTTGTAAATACGATATGCTGTATATACGGTATGATGTAAATACGGTTTGCTGCATATACGGTAAGTTGCAAATATGATATGCGTAAATACGGTATGTTGTATATACGGTATGTACAAAAATCAATATTTGTCAAATACGGCATCTAAAGACAATATGTACAAATACTCCTGTATATATGGTATGATACAAATACAGTGTGCTGCATATACGGTATTATGCAAATACAGTATGCGTAAACACGGTGTGCTGCATATACGGTATGTAAACTGCATATACGGTATGAATGAATCCGGTCTCGTCCACTATAATAAATTTCAATACCGTATTTGCATATTACCGTATATGTAGGCAATTTACCGTATTTGCAGCTTATTGTATATGCTACCTACCGTATTAACAGCTTACTGTATATACCGCTTTTTGCACTTACAAGTTCCGAGAATGCAGTATACCATACATTCACTTACCAAATCGAATGTCAGAGAAAAATTTCAAAATTTTATTTTTTCAACATAAGCATAAAATAAATATTAAAATATATGAAGGACAAAATATACAACACTTATGAATATGCAAATCGATTTATAATTTTGTGTTCAATCTTCAATTTTCCAATATTGAATTAAATAAAGTTTGGAAATATAATCTTCACATTCAACTCAATCATATCAACACTATCAAAGAATACATGCAAAAATAGTTTGTATAACATCGTATATTTCTTATTAAAGCACGAAATATAAAAGCATATTTTTTCTAGATAACACAATACTGTTACAATTGTAAAAATAATTTGCAATTCTTTTCTTATATCATGAAAATATTTCTAGATATTACTTCAAAAACTTTCCAAAAAACTAAAATTCATGCGTTAATAAAAATACGATAAATACAAAATTCGTGCAATGCACGTAATAGTGACTAGTAATATTAAATATATCTTTGGTGGAAAATCTACAGCAATGAATCAAGATCATTTACTAAAATATAACATGAGGATTTTGATGATGAGTTCATTTCTGGGAAAAGGAAAAAAACCAACAACGTGTTTGTGCCCCATTTTTCACAAAAAAAAAGGTTTTATAATAGTGATTTTTTGAAAAATGTGTGGTTCAAAAATAAGAATTTTTTTTGAATTTAAATGTAAAATTATTTATTGAAAGAACGTGTAATTGAATATAAGTTTAAAAACAATAAGTCTAACCATGCTTAAAGAAATTGAAAAGTGAAATATATATTTTTTAAATTTTTTCTTCCAATATTGAGAATGAATTTGAAAATACAGATTTTCTGCAACAAAAAATGGATGTTGATTGCAGTTTTTATTCATCTATAGTGGCACAAAAATGCACTATTGATAAATGAAAATTTCGTGTGGAATAATTTGTGGAAAATAGTAGTGTTGAAGTGGGGGAAGTTTCTTGCATAAGGAGGCGGCTGACTTTTTTCAAAGACAGGGACAAGCCATTACACACGATCGAGGGCCCACACTTCATTTGAATGTTTATATCCAAATCGTGGCTGTGTGTCGACTAAATCAGGTATTTTTTTTTTTTTCAATCTTATCATATATGTTAACAATATTTATTTTTTGATTTACTCAATATACTGAAGGTATTTGGTATTAGCACCATTGGCACTATTTTTAAAATCCTAAATCAATAAACAATTTTATTATGTGTGAAATTTTCAAGTTAAATGAAAAAGTATTCGTTCTTAGCAATCTAGTAGCTTAATACCTACCAAATTTTTCGAATTCATATATCAAATTCTGCGTGACCTCGTCGAAAAATGTACACACGAAACACATAGCCCTCAGCCCTCTTGGTAAAAAAGTTTGTTTAGAATAAATTTTGTGGAAAATGATTTCTTTGAAGAATTTGTAATTACAAAGTAGGAAAAGTACAAAATTATCTTATTAGAAGTAGCACTAATATATGTGAACACACTTGATTGATTCAATTAAATAAATCACGTGACGAAACATTTAAGTAAATCTATCATTTAATATCATGTAATTGATACTTAAATTAATACTTAATACAGTTGTGTTATTCTGAATAACGTTATTCGAGTAAATTTAACCAATAATCACTGAACTTTACACTTGATTACTACTTGCTCACTCATCTTTCACATATTACTGAATGCTCACTCATCTTTTCATATAATTACTCATTCACCACTCGTCTCTTCAAATAATTGAGCTACTTTTACGGCAAATTTTTGACAACTTCCGACCACAAAGAATGTTGAATTTTGATACCGTTGGAAATCCCACGATGTCCTCTTCAATTACCACCCAAAATCTCATTATAACTCCAAGGGATTCGATCGAAAAATTGCCTTAAAAGTCGCCCAAAAATTCTGAAATCTGCCCAGATTTTCAGATTTTTTGGGCGACTTTTAAGGCAATTTTTCGGCAACTTTCGACCATCAAAACTATCGAATTTTGATACCATTGGAAAGCTCACAATGCCCTCTTCAATTACCACCCAAAATTTCCTGATAACTCCAAAGGATTCGGTCAGAATAAACCCACAAAATCAGCATCTTGAAAAGGCGAAAATCCTGGACAGAGTTCGGGATGCTGACTTTGTGGGTTTATTCCGAACGAATCCTTTGGAGTTATCGGGAAATTTTGGGTGGTAATTGAAGAGGACATTGTGAGCTTTCCGATGGTATCAAAATTCGATAGTTTTGATGGTCGAAAGTTGCCGAAAAATTGCCTTAAAAGTCGCCCAAAAAATCTGAAAATCTGGGCAGATTTTCAGAATTTTTGGACGACTTTTAAGACAATTTTTCGATCGAATCTCTTGGAGTTATAATGAGATTTTGGGTGGTAATTGAAGAGGACATCGTGGGCTTTCCAACGGTATCAAAATTCGACATTCTTTGTGGTCGGAAGTTGTCGAAAATTTGCCGTAAAAGTAGCCCAATTATTTGAAGAGACGAGTGGTGAATGAGTAATTATATGAAAAAATGAGTGAGCATTCAGTAATATGTGAAAGATGAGTGAGCAAATTGTAATTAAGTGTAAAATTCAGTGATTATTGGTTAAATTTACTCAACGTGATTCTGTTAAAAATAAATTTAAAGAAAAAGGAATGTTAAAATCGAGCAAACATGGGCATGTATTCACACAACTGACATCGAAGTCAAATTGATTCATGGATTGCAAAAAAATTGGCCTAAGATTTACACACCTGCACTCGGTCCGCATAGATGTATATACATTTGAAAATATGTATATGAAAAAGTTTTGGGTGTTGCAATTGAATTGGTGATGAGAAATGGATCTCTAAGGCTAGTTTCTTGAATACTTCAGCTTTGGAACTCGTGCAACACCTATTTTGCTTCAGTCAATAAAGAAGGTAAGAAACACAAATGTTTGTACTAAATTTGAAGTTTTAATTGAGAAACTGTTAGATCTGCGTTGTTGAGACTTGATAGTATGCTTTTCTACGATTGGATTTGAGGATATTTACATCAAGATCTGTTCAAATTTCAGTTTTATCTCTAGCTCAAGTAAAAAGAATGTACTTAATTTTTAGGGCTTGGGAATAAAAATTGTTATAAAGGGACAGCATTAAAGTATTACTGTCTTGTTATTATTATTAATTAATTTTTTGAAGTGGAATATACTTTGCTTGCCTTGAAGGTTCTGATATTTGAAAATCTGCATCATCAGATGATGTTTTATGCAGTATTTGGATAATATGCAGAGATTGGGTTTATTAACCTGTGAAATATTTTTGGACGTGGTTTTTTGATTATGTTCCTTGTTCACGAGCGGATTTGAATCATCTGATCAAACATTGAGAAATCTTGTTGGAATTTTCTCAGTTGCCGAGTAGACTATACATAAACTAGCGCACACGTCCAGACATCTGAAAATCATGCAGTCAAGGCATCGTAATGGTCCAGGGAAAGGGTACAGATCTAATGCGACGGGGATGGGCAGCGTGGCCGTTGGCTCCCATAGTTTGCCTGAAGGAACAACAAGAGGTTCTCGGATGTATAATTTGAAATATAGGAACTATAATCGTGGTTCCCAAGGACGTGTTGGCCACTCAAAGCAGTTCCAGCTACCACTTGAGACTGACATTTTCATGGAAGCTGGTAAGTTGGCTGCTGAGTATTTGGTTTCTAATGGAGTGCTACCATCAAATGCAGTCTCAGGAAAGTGGCAAAATGGTGTCTTGAAGAAACAGATAGATTCCTGTTCGATGGATGCTCCAGGGGATGTAGGACCTGGTGCGAGAAGACACTGTGTTGAATATAATTCAATGGGGTCGAGAAGCTTTGCAAGAGTAAGTACAGGAGCTGAGTCCAACCATAACATTGGAAGAAAGAAGCCATGGTCTGGTAGGAATAGGGATTCCTCCTGTTTGGAGGCTGAAGGGGCTTCTTCTGGACATCTTGTTGGGCAGCCTGTGGATAAAGAAGGAGATGGTGGAGGGAAGACTTCATCTCCTGGTGAATTAACTCAAGAAAGTAACAATATGGCTGATCCTGAGTCTGGTGGTGCTTGTGCAAAAACAAGGTGTTCTGACAATGAGAAGGATCTCCAATCAAATGCTGACGAGGAAGTCATTAAAGACTCCAATGAGGAGAGCCAATCAGGAACTGGGGAGGCTAAAAAGGGATGCCATGACATTGATTTGGAGCAAAAAGAGGGCGAGAGCACGGAGGTCACAGCTTCTGCAGAGAAGGATTTAGAGAGCAAAGATGATATTGACTCAGGGATGCACTGCGAATTTGAAAATGTTTCCACTAAAACTTATTCTTCATCATCTATTAGAGGTATGCTGCTTGATCCGAATCCTATCACTGAAGACGAGAACATAAATAAGAATAAACTTTCTGAAGGCTCTGGATTGCATGCCACAGATATGCTCAATGATAGTTCTGCTGGTATTGCTTCTTCTGGTCAAAGTCATGAATTAAAAAGCATCGACTCTGACATTCTGAAAGGTCCAACTGTGGAGGAAAATGTGGGTGTTACACGTGTTTCGAGGACAGGACTGTGCTCAAAGGCTAGATCTTTTCTTGACAGATCTGTATTAAACGATCAAGAAGTGGATAAGGAGTTGCAGGAATTTCGAAGGTCCAGCTCCATGTTTATGGAAAGTGGCGAAAAACGAGCCTTAGTTGCTAGCTTTGATGGTAGGGAGGGAACTAAAAAACTTAGAGAATGGGCTCCCTTGAGAACTCGATCTGATGACTGCTTGCCTCGTGCTAACTCAATGGAAACTCAGCATAATTCACACAAGCCAGAAACTTCAAGCAGTAAGCATGTAATTTTGTCTCCTGATCAGAAGAGTTTGTGTATTTCACTATTTCCAAAAGGTCATGCTGAATCATGTCAATACACAGAAGAGAAACAGCTATTTCCGGGCTCTTTTAAGACTTTCGACCTTAATCTTATTGAGACTTGTGATGGGAATGAGAATATCACTGGAAGTGCAAAATTAGAAGCACCTATTGATGTTGATTTGTCTATAAGTAATTGCTATAGTCGCGTGTCTAATAAAAATGGTAAGCATGGAGTTGATGATAAAGACATTGAGGTGATTGATTTGGAAATTGATTCTGTGTATGAAGACAAGACCTTCACTCCAGAGAGAAGGTGAACTTTTGTTCTCAGTATGTTTCCTGTCCTTACATATCCACACATGTACAGTTACAGATGTACAAAAATCCTTGAAAATTCTAATATAGCAAAATATAATCTGCATTACATTTATTCGTCATCTGGAAAGTCTCTTATGATGGTATGTCTCAATTATGCAGAGCTGATACTGTATTTACTGGCCCGGATAGCTTCCCTAATAACGTACACGATGCTAATGAGATTCCTGACATCCGAGATGGTTATGGATTTGTGATGTCAGAATTGCTTGGAAATGATAGACCTGAATGTTCTTCTGTACCCACAGAGTTGGATTCTCAGCACAATGATTTGGGCCTTCATAATGGAGAGGTAAGGGGTGACTAATGATAACTTTCTGATTTGGAATAAAAGTTTCACCACTTTTTAGTGTCATGCATCAATCATGTCGAGTCTTCATATTATTGATACCTTTAATCGTGCAATGTATTTTCCATCTGCTTTGGTGACATCTGGCTGAGGAATGTTTTTGGTAATTAGAGACGAGTTCTTACTAACTTTTCAATGTTTATTGCAGGGGACTCTTTATGATGATGACCAGATATATATGTCTCTTGGAGAAATACCATTCAGTATGTGTTTATTAATTTTCTCATTTATTTAATTCATCCATCTTACGCATGTTTATTTTTTGATGAGGATGAACGACTTCTTCTGATAATAATATAAAGTCACAAATTACATCGTCATGTTGTAGGCATGTCGATACAGGACAGTTCTTTCTCAATAACCTTGTTTGTACAAAGTAATCCATGCTGGTTACCTTTAATTTCCATATTCAATCTTGAATTAGGCAGTGAAAAATTTTATCTGTGGAATGAATAGTGATAGTTTTTACTCTTAATGTCTCTCGAAAATAAGCTGTACATATTGTTGGTCATCCTCAAAGTTGTAGGTTTCATTCGGCAGTTTCTGTGTCATGTTTCTCAAATACCTTCTGTTTTCATGTTTTCATCCGTGTGCATTGGAATATGTCTTGTGTCCTCACTTCTAAAGGAAATTGTATTTCCTAATTCAAGCGTCCGGATGCATGTCACGAGTTGGGCCCAAAAATTTTTAAGATTTTTTGTCAAAATATAACTTTCCTGAAATATATAAAAGATAGAAAAACAGTCCATGTGAAACATAAGCTTTTGAAGTCTGGGCCAGCCTGGCCTAATGCGAAGTGATAATGCATGCTAAATATTTGTAATCCATAAAAATAAAGACAAACCAATTGAATAGACTGAATTTATGGCATGTTTATCTAGTTCAAATGTTCTGACACTACAGTTATAGCCGCTTAACTGCATATAATTGCACGCCCTCGACATCTGTGTCAGTGTGAGAGAGAAATCAACCGTCAGGATGGCATAGAGATGAATACCTAGGCCTATATAAGGAGCCTGCTTCTTCATTATAGTTGACTTGTGGATTTGTTAAGGTTCATAGGAGCCTCCTTCACCACAAATGAAGAAGTTTGAGTAAGGCCACGGTTGGTGGTTCATGCACATTCTTGGGTTGCAGAGGACAGTCGAGTCCGCTGCCAACTAAGGGTGCGTGAAGCCAGAGACGAGGTTACTTCCACGCTCTCTGAATTTGTAGTGAAGGAGGCTAATGTGTCATATGACATGTTATCTCCACAAGCCAACCGGCAATACTGGGGAAGGCCAGGCAAGTCTAATTAAGTAAATTTGTAAGTCTAACATTGCCTGAAGTAGATGGATATTTTGTACTCAGTTATATGGAGTATTGAACTATTGATGCTCACTCTATATCTCTCTCTAATTGCATATATATGGATCTGTTGTAGGCTTTCTGAAGGACTGGGAGCGGCCAACACAGGACCATGGAAAACCATTTTAAGTGGTCGTGTATCAGATGTTGCTTCGTTATTCCTGAACTCATTTTGAATACAACAGTTTCAACATCTTTGTTAAACTGCAAAGTCATCTGATCGTGTGGTATGATTTGCTCGTTATGGATTTGTGTATGAATCCTTCTGTTGGAGCTTTCAAAGAATTGAGTTGTCATTTTGCTGATCTATTTCACTAGCAATATGGTTCACTCCCATTTTACTAATATTTATTGTCAAAAATAGGCGGTGACAATGCCTTTGTGAAATGATAATTTAGCATTTACGCCCTATTGTAAAATCGCCTTTTGACTCATCTGAGATATAAATTGATTGCAGGATCGACCTTTTTTTGTTTTTTGTTTTTTTTTTTTTAAATGCTCTCTTTGATTCGTACATTTGAGATCTTTGTTGATTTTTCATGATGAGTGGCCCTAACGGGTCAATGAGTTGGTTTCATTAAGATTCATACATTGTAAGATTAAACCCCTGTTTGATTTTCATTACATTACATTACATTCTACTTTTCTCTCTCCTATTTTCAACCACACAATCTTCCATAAAATAATATTACACGTAAATCGAAAATTTTTCTTTCTTTTTCAACCACTCATTTTTCAAAAAACACTATTTTATACATTAAATTTTCCCCATAATGGGGGCCAAACAGGGGCTAATGCTTATGTATAAATTTTAATGTATATTTTCTTTGCTACATAGCAAGATTAATGCTTATGTATCATAAATGCTAATTAAACACCCGTCACTGTCACATCTTTTAATGAAACCAACTCATTGACCGGTGCTAATCACTAGTAATAATTTATAACAATATTGATGTAGTACCTGAGTAATATGCACCTGTCTAGGGTGCAGTGGATCCCACATTCTATAAATTGTAAAAAAATAAAAGATGATAGTGAATAGACTAATTAAAAGGAGACAATGAGTAGACTAATTAAAAGGAGAAGCTGAGTAGACTATGTAGCAATTGCTAATCTAAGTCGGACGATTCTTCAGTGACCCAAGATGCAGAATGATTTGATCCTTTCAAGGCAACCTTACAATTTTGTTGTCCAATAAACGAAAGTGGATTTTACTTCATCGAACAAAGTAAGGTCCATTGCCATCCAAAGTGATTGGATGCTTAAAGCTAGTGATGTTATACAAGATTATTCAAATGTGACTTATTATTTGTTGATGTCAAAACTTGTATCGGCTAATTTCGAGCCAACTTTAAGAAAAAGGAGAATTATGTTTTGTATTGGAAGATCATAGAAGGTAACTTGAGAGAATTTGATTTTGTAAAGGGTTTGTATATCTATATCCACGTCCTTAAGAAAACTATTCTTCCACTGTCTATACGTGATTTTCAGTCGAAATTACGTCAAATCAGCTACAGTGTTGAACTCGTAGGTCGGGTCACAGAATTCTCCTGTGATTGGTAGACGAGGCCGGTGGTCACATGTCAATGTTTTTCTCACCTGCAAATGATTTGAAGGCTTGAGGCCTCGGATTGGTGGTTTTGGGTGGTGATGATATCATGACATCATCTTTAACAAGTGTGTGTGACTAGGAGGTTGATGTGACAAGGAATAATCATGATATTTGTTGGAGTTACGGTGGCCAAATCCGAACTGAGGGTTATAGTCGAACTCACATCTGCCTGAGGTGGGGCCCGCGAACAACTTACATGAGATCGGAGTTCGATGGTCAACGTTATCAATTTTGTTAAATTCGATTGCGATCTAAATTAGTGCTAAACAAAGTATTGCACAACAATTGGTCATCATTATAAGATATGGAGTCGATTGTACCACAAATCTTTGAAATGGTAAAATGTGCATTCTGGTCCCGCTGCAGAATTCGGGGCAGAAGGGGAACATGCCTCGTGCTGTGACTCTTAATTTTCATTTCATTTTTTTTTAATTTTTTCATTTAAATCATAGTTTAAAAATAAAAATAAATCATAGTTTAGAATTAAAAATTAATAATTAAGTAAATGAGAACAAAAATGAGAGTATTTTGACGTTGTCCTTAATTGCCAGTTTATTACCACCCTCCTAGATTGATGTTAAATATCATAGATATTAGGAAAAATTGGAGCAACGGTTCCTAACCTTTTCATTTTTTGTAGACTTTATCCTTATCTTTATTTTGTGTCAACAAATGTCCCTAACCTTTCATAAATATGCACATGAGATCCATTTGGATGGAAACCGTTCAAAACACCATCAGAATGGGAAAATTTCTTAAACTATTTGCTACCGGCACGGTTTAATTGGACATTGATACCTTTTTGGACGGTATTTTAGACGATTTTATTAGATGCCGATTCCTTCATTTTTTCGATCAACTGATCGTGTTTTGGATGGTTTCCGTCCAAATGGATCTCAAGTGCATATTTATTAAATGTTAGGAACCTACACTAACACAAGATAAATGTTAGGGTAAAATTTATAAAAATGAAAATATTAGGGACCGTTGCTGCAAATTTCCCTAGATATTATATAGCATCATTTTTTGACTTTATTACTTATTATGAGTTTGGTTACGCTTAAAAAGTTTAAGTAAATATGTAAACTTTATAAGAAATATTTTTACAATAGATGAAATAACGTGAAAATAAATAAGTTGTTTATTTTAAGTAAAATAAAAAGTTACTATTGAAAGACTAACATTTTTCATTAAAACTGAAAGGAAAAAAAAGAGTAAATTATTAGATAGGTTATATTCAAGTGGGCCAAATCTTGTGAAAGTCGCATTCAACTTTATCATCTACAATGATGATTTTACTCATGTGGGACCAAAATTCTAAGTTTATTAAAAGAGAATCTTCAGTGGAGCGGGCGCACCATCCACGGGGAGACGCCACCTCGATAGGTGACCCACACACCTCAAGGGTGTGTGGGGAGCCACCCGCCAAGGTGGCTCAACCTGATAGGGCGGTCCGCCCTATTAAAGATTCTTTCGTTTATTAAATAGGTTGGGATTCAAAATCTTATTAGACTTGTAACTATACTATATAGAAGATTGAGATTAAAAAATGTAGTTTTCCCTAAAGAATAATGGTTAAAAGCAAAAAAAAAAAAAAAACACTCAATTATTAAGTTGGCTCTGGCTGCTGGTTTCACGATTTAAGGTTAATGTTTGCTGTTGACGTTTTGCAAATCTTCATGATTATTTTTGCAGAGAAGAATTAATTCACAGGGCATCATGAGCAGCTCGTCGCGAATTGCCATTAAAACTCGACAGAAATTATGCTTGCGACACACTATCGACCAATCAAAGAAGATGATGACGAGAAGCTTAATGTGCATGGCCACGAACGACGTGACGGACATTGTGCATGCTCTCATAACTAGTTTTTCGAGTTTCTAAGTGGAGAAGATGATAAAATTGTACAACACCGTCTTGGCCATGAAAGCCGTAAAAATTTTTGGCATCGTAATAATGACGCAGCAAAGAATGAAATTCTGCTCCTTAGGGAGACAAAAGTTTACTCATAAGTATGGTGAATATGAAATCCTATCTGTGATTGTTCACAAAGGAAGAGAATGAATAGTTAGAAGCAGCCCCAATGTAAAAAAACCCATTTAAATATTAAGTTAAAATCTCTATTTTCTTTAGCGTAGACAAGTAACACTTTCTTAAGAGGACAAAAATTTACATTGGTAGTCAAAGGGGCAATCGACTCATAATCTGATGATAGACTGATGAGCCACCGTAGACATTCAAACCAGAGTCGGTCTCCGGCTCCACTTTCGGTTCTTCTTTTGGCAGCATGAAACCTGTGTCACTCAATGGGCGCAGTTGTCCTAAATACGGATGCATTGGAAGTACGGGTAACCTGCCTTGGTTAGGCTCAAATCCTGCCATTGCCAGATTGGCTAGCCCGGTCTGATTCATTCCAAGTCCAAAGTTTGGATTAGATCCAAGATGCGGCCTCCCAGGAAGGCCAAATGAGCCAAGCGAAGGTCTTTCAAACCGTCCAAGGCTGCTATGAAGTCGAGCTGGCTCGGGTCTATGTATTTGACTCTGAGAAGCAGTCGAAGCTTGGTTTGGACGGGTGTTTGAAGCTCCAGAATTAACATGACTGCTGTTGCGAGGTGCAGGAACATCATGGTTGTGTTTTCCCTCGTACGTTGTTATCACTGATTTCAGGTCATGTGAAGCTCTCTCGACGTGCTTCCTGACGGTGCAGCCTGCGCTTGTGCACTTATAGTAACTCCTGCACCAAGAATACCAAAAATCCCGTTTCATAACAGCTTAACAATAGTTTCTAGACTTGAGATATATTGGTTATGTTCAAGTCACAATTATAAGTCGTTTACCTTGGATTTGGATTTCCTTTCACAACTTTCTGCCCATATTTGCGCCAGCGATACCCATCATCAAGGATGTCTACCTCACTGGTTGTTTGCACTACGACCCTAGGCTCCCGGATGGCTCTAGTAGCCCCACTCATGTCTGAAGGGAAAGTTTCGATTTTCCTATCACAAAGAAAGTCAAAATGTTGTCAGTCTATATTCCTGTTGATTTCTAATAAATCATTTAAACAGAAGTATTAACCTTCGTTTTGACTCTGATTCATCTTCTTCACCATCATCGCCCAATGATACACTGCCATGCGTTTCACGATCATCTTCCTCTTCATCATTCGAGAAAGTAGAAGACCCTTGCGCAGCATTGCCAGACTCAAACTGAGTGCTGACTTGAGCTAGAAAAGAGGTAGTTCCGTTGCCATGTTCTTGGCCCAAAGCCGCTGACGGTGTCAAGTCCGGATTTTCCCATCTCCAATCGGGGGTTCCATTTTGCACGTTTGACCAGACAGGATCACCATTAGCACCAGTTCCTGGTTGCTCAGTTGTGTCAAGCTGAACATCGCCAAGTGCACTCAAGGATCCAACAGCTGATCTCCGACTGGGTGGAGGTTTTGGGTGATTATGGGCTCCCTTATAAATTATCTCTGTAATATGACCCTCGGGGGAGCGTTCCACTTTCTTCTTGATGGGACAATTTGGATGTGTGCATTTGTAATAACTCCGAGGATAATCACTTCCTTTTACCTGTTTCTGCCCATATTTTCTCCAATTATAACCGTCGTCAGCTGGACCACTGCCAACATTGGGATCATCGTTGCTTCTTTGATCAGCATCATCCTCTTGTGGGTCATCAAACAGTGGAGAATGCTCCATGGTGCTGCCAATTGTACCGAAAGACACTGGCTCAGTTGAGATGTCGTGGGTGTTCTTGGCAGATGAATTAGAGAGATCAATCTGCTGAAAAAGTGTACCGTTCTGAGAGTGAACTTTCAGGGGTTCTACACTTTGAGGCAGAAGTGAGTTTTCCGAATATTGAGAAAGACTTGAAGGATTTACCTGGTCCAAAAAAGCAATAGAAAAGAACTATCCTTAATTTTGCAAAAAGTGCTGAAATAACTTGCAGGAAAACTGAATATGCAAATACTAAGGTCTACTCTATAAACAAAAACATGCCACACTCTAGTGGTAGGTTTGATAAGGAGGACTGGAGAATCAAACGTCTGATCAAATCATGTGCATAGGTTTTGGGGAGGAGACAGAGAGAGAGAGAGTATAATTACTTTGCTTGCGGCACCAAAATGAAACGAGGAACCAGATTCCATGACAGGCTGAAATGCAAATGATGAGGCATTCAAATCTTCGAAAGTATTTTCTTTGCCCTTATCGAGATTGCCTGCCATCAACATCGAGTTTCCTATGTTGCTTGGGAGAAATGAAAATTTCCCAGTTGTTGGAGATGGCTGGACCTGCAGAAAAATGAGCTATTCATTGATAATTGAAGGCGGAGAAAATAACTCACTACTGAATCAGCAAATTGTCATAATGGACAAAATAAAATTCTTTAACATCAAGTCAAATATATTCAATGGAGACATCTCCGCAATTTTCTGTTTGAAGGAAGCAATGTTAGAAGCATGAAAAACCATCTTACCACTTATCAAAGTGGAAACAGACGATGTGAAAGTTTATTACCGTCTACTTGTTTTCAGCCCACTCTTTTTTTACACATTCTATGTAGTAGAAAATGAATCTCATAGAAAGTTATAGACTTCTAGATTACTCTCACGTTCAGAAACTTGACTGAGGAAAAATATACGAGTTATTTCAGCTACACAATTATCTTCCCGCACTCCACTTCCAGTGTTCAAAAAATAAAACAAAAGGGAAATGTCTTCTATGCAATCCACTTTATGTCAAGAGTATGTATGGTATATAGTATTGGACAATAAGGGGTACAATACACATGATTTTAAATTCTTTTTCTTTCTTAATATAATCCAGGATTGAGCAACCCTCTATCTTGCAACTGAATGTGTGCTAAAAGCCTAAAACAATGATTTGACCAAAAATTCTCGAAACTTAACCAGAAGTTTTATAGTTTCCAAGCTTACCAGTGAATTATTAGCTAGGAAGACAGGAGATTCTAGCAGACTTGTTGGGCTGACACCTGGAGGAATTGTCAGATAAGGAGACCGAACATCCGGGTTTTGAGAAAGGTCAGCTGGCCGGATACTTTCTGTATTCAACCTCGGGGCATTGAAACCGGCTCTAGCCGCTATCCTCTCCAGAAGACCACCACGTGAACTCATCTTCTGCTCCAAGAAGACATTCGA